GGGAAAGAGATGAAATGAACTGACCTGACCTCAGCTCAGTGACCCACTACAAAACTGTTATCTGGGAGCTGTCGGCACTGTTCATACAGGAAGGGCACAGCATCACTCCCTATGAAGTTAAAAAGCCCCTCTCCAGCTACAGTTGTGGTGCTTTTCTAAAAGATCTGAGACAGAGTACTGGGCTAAATGAACCACTGGTCAGACCCAACGGATGTTTTTTATGTGAAAATGGACATTGAAGCTTGATAGGAATTTCACTGTTATCTTTCACGTCTGTCACTTTGAACCCATCAGCTTCCTTTTCAGCACGAAAATGTAACTTCCTGTTATCACCTTTAATTTTTCTGAAATACAATTACATGATCCAAGTCAACCATAAGCTAGGAACTTGTCGAATACCTTGACTACACAGGAAAACTGGTGATTAGAATAAGGTATCTCTTGGATACAGCAGTATTTATATAAATCTAAACCAGGGAAATACATAAAAAAGTAACGGCCTAAAAGAACAATAATTTCTTTGAAAACAAATCAGAAATTACTTCCACTGAAGATCCCAGGAATTTCTATTTGGCGTTCTCAGAGGTGGAGGGCACCACTACAAACAGACACCTACTGCTGGGGTTTTCTTCATCATCTCGAGAGCCTTGGCAAGCTTCACTGACAAAGAGAGGAGTTACCTATAGTGCTGAACTGTTCACCAGAACAAGTGTGCTCACTTGATTTTAGTTCTGGATGCCTCCAGAAGGGACCTATTTCTTTATTTCTGCAGAGGCCCTCTCCCTTACCCAGCGCAGGGCCTGCAGTAAGAAGGCCTTGAGACGATCATTCCCCGTAATCAGATCTTTCTTCAGCTTCTCATAATCCAAAGAGGGCAACAACGGCACATCCTGCATCTTCCTGCAATGCAGACGGAAATACATTCATCAAAACTCTCTCTCCTTATTCAGTGCAGCTGATGTTGCTGAGGTGAGAAGAGCCAAAACAGGAAGCCTGCTTCAGGAAAAGAGCTTCCACATTTTGACACCTTTGTTACTTTTATTACCATTACCATGTTGGAACAACAGACTTTTTAAACTTGGACTTATTTTTTTCACCACGCAAGCAACTCATTTAACATCGTAACTTGCAGACACTGAACTCTGATAACCAGCCAGTTGATGATCTGAGCTTTTTAGTGGCACAAACAGTACAGTGACAGCCTTCTCTGCCCTGTGTGGGCCACAGGGGCACAAAGGCAGAAGTTTGTGGTCTTAGCACACAGTTATGAGCAGACACCGTAACAAGCTGTGGCTTCAATCTCATGTCTTCATGCACACAGAAATGGCTTCTCCAAGGCAAAGGTGGTGGTTGAATGGATTTTTACAGACTGGACTATGCTGGCTTAACATAAAACGTAATACACAAACACTTTTCATGCACTAGTATTATCTTGCTATTTTGAGTTTTAATACTGCAACAGAAGTCTCACGTAACAAAATTGCTTCCAGTCAATGCTTTAATTTTAATATTTAAATGTATCCCACTTAACAATTTTTACTCCTATCTTGTTATGCTACCACTTTTCTAAACAAATTTTATGTTCTATGTATAATTGTCCCTTTAATTATCTCGTAAACAACAGAAGGATCAAAGCATTGTCTCAAAAATTTAATAAAACCTTCACCTCAGATACACCATCTCTATTCCATCTTATAGGCAAATGTTATTAAGTCAGTCACAAAAATAATTAAACCTGAAGCACCCAAAAATCCATGTTACCGATTCCCCTTTTTCCTGAATTTGTGAGAAGCAAATGAATGGCAGTAACAGCACCGTACTGTGCGGAAACAGTAAAGAAAGTAACGCAGCCAACTCGCAGGTGTGGAGTGGCAGATTTACGGGATAAGCAACATCCTGGTGAAATAAGATGTGGCTGAACCCGCTCACCAGAAGAATAGAGGTGACACAATATCTGCACACAATGTCCACTGAGAGCAGAGGAGGCACACAGAGGATGAGTGATTCCCATCTGCAGTGCACTTCAGTTTACAAACCCCTCCTCCTCTTCCCGACAGATATAAATGAAGTTCAGCAATAAATACTTACACAGGGGCTAAAGATGCTCTTAACATTGTGGAAGCCTGGATCAGAAAAAGAAAGAAAGAAAGAAAAAAAAAAGAAATCACAATAGATTAGTCCAAATTTCACACAGCGGTACTAACGAGGTCCACAGTGAATTCTTTCACTGAGGATCTGCAGTTCTGTTCCTATAATATTTATGCTGCAAAATAAAACACAGCTAAAGAAAGAGAGGACTTCAGCATTTATCTTGCTTTTCCCTTAAAGTGTTTCATGGGTAAAAACCTCTTTTTTGTGATCTGGCTACATTATCTTCACTGCCATACTCCAAAAATTACCTACACTTGAAGCATTTTTAAAAAATACATCAAAGGGAAAAAAGTGAGTAGAAACTGCCAGCTGAAGCCCAGTGGGGAAGATGAAGAACTCTCTAAACACATTTACTGACTTCAAAAATGTTCATACCTTAAAGCTGAAACAACATTTCGCTGGACACCGAGCAAATATTACTGCATCCTAATTTGCTGTCATTCTTTGCTTTGACATAAGTGTTATCAGAGTGCCTGTTGCTACTAATATATACCCTACATACAACTGTTAATATGTAAAGAAGAGACTATGTTTTCTGCTATGGACAAAACCCATATGGAACAGCCTGCCATTTCTCAGTGGTTCTGCCTAGGCTAAGTTCAATTTAAGCCTGGATATTTCCTCTCCGATGCAGTGTGACAAAGAACATATGCAGGCACCACCGCTGAACAAGTCAAAACTTAAAAATCTCACCACCATATAAAAGTTGTCTGCTTCAGTAAATATTTTCTGCTAGAGTTAATTGTAGGGGGGCCCAGAAGCAGCAATTCTGGCATAAGAGTTGCTTCATATCATGCATTCTGATGTCAACTACATGCCATATTCACAGAATATTCAGTGTCGTCTCTTTGTGTTGATCTCCCTACTCACTTTCTAAAAACTCTCTCATTACCACTTCTGCCTTTAAAACCGGTCTTCTCTTCTAACCCAGCCTCTTTCAATGGGAGCTATATAATCGATGGCTATTGTTATATTTAAAACTGAGGGATTTAGGAGACAAAAAGCATGAAGCACCATAGAGAATATTGAATTACCCCAGCTGACATACTCTTGAACACGCAACCTCATGGGTATCCTTCGTAATACAAGGAACTGCTCTCTTAGATGTGAAACAGGCTTATATGCACATTGGAGGGCATTTTATATTATGTTTAAGTCAATGAATGACTGATAACACGATAGACAATTAACAGGTGACACACTTCAAAATTAACCTGTCTTGATAGCAGTCCTTAAATCACAGTTCATTTTCACAATACAAAAAGTCTTTCAAAGTATCATATCTACCTAAACTGTTTTTCCCTCATCTACTTCTATGCATTTTCCTTAGCGTTTCTGATAAATATAAAAAGTTAACTTTTGCTTAAACAAAACTGTTTTCCCAGTCAAAAACCTATCATCTTGTACCTCACAAACCATTTTTGTTGCCTTCCTTAGCACCCTTCTCCATTAAAGGAAACAAAGAAAGTGACTATAGGATGTTAAAGCAAAAGAAATGGCAGAGCCCTTGAAGATGAGAAGGTGAGACAGAGAACAGTAGTGAGAAAAGAATCAGAACAGGTCCGTAAGTGTAAATAGGTGTATATAAAAGCTCCCTGCTTTTCAGAAAAGTCCTTTTTCCCCCACCACTTCTTTGCTACCTTGGAAAGAAAAAGACGTGCTCCAACCAAAACCTAACTAAAGGATATATAATTGCTAAAGATACACACATTACCCTTCAACACAAATAAAACTTTCTGGCAAGTGTAAACTTTGATTTTTTAAAAATCCGAATGTTTTCCCAATTGAAGTTTCTGTAGTTTGAAATTTAAAAAAGCTTACAATCCGATCAAGCTGGATAAAGTCCTATGACTTCCCAAATTACTTCTTAAACCGGCAAAAGGAGCACAGCAAAGTATTTGGTATGGTTTGGCTCTGTAGTCTACATACACCAAAAAGGCACCACACAGTGAGGCAGACCCTGTAGTGGACCTCTGAGGGCAGGACCACCGAGATGGTGAGCTTGTCCAGCACTCACTTTTCTGATCAAACCCAAGTTTATCAATCTAGAATCTGCACAGGAAGAAGAAAACTAGGGTTTTTTTGTGATTTTGGGAAAGCAATAAGGATAGAGTTCATATTACATCAGGCTCAATGACACAAAACAGTAATGGGAAGTCTTTCAGGGCTAGTTTGTCCTTCACCCCACCCTTGCATCTCAATCCGACTTTGGTCAGCCCCACTGATAAGCAGAAAGAATGTAACCATGTTACAGGCAGAGATTTGCTTTCTTCATCTTTATCTACAAGACTGCAATTAGTCATAAACTAATCTGTATCCGTGCAGTATGGCATATTGAGTAAGACATTGCTTACATCAGCACGTGTAATTCACTGAAGATACGTAATCTAGCCAGTGAATACTGGTCATCGTCTTCAGCATTATCTTTGTAGGCAGCAGATCCAAAATCAAGCTTTCACATGCACTAATTCTGTTGGGAGTGCCAGCTGAACCAGCCCTCACCCCTCTCCACACACGGCTACCATGGAAAGCAAAAGCAAGAGACTCTCAGGAACAGAAACCTGCACTGCCACCAAACCAACAACAAAACTCTTCTTAAGTTTTTTGCAAAACGTAGCCACATGCTTTTAAAAAAGGATTTTATGCTGCAGATTCATGTGAAATCGTGAAGCCTTTTAAAATTTTTGTTAGGAACAAAAGGTCAACACTGAAGGCTGGAAGTTGGCAGAACAGAGCCCACTTTGGCCTTTTGGTTTTTTTGATCCTTACAGATCTGCTCTTCCCTTTCCTGGTGTTCATTCTCCAATCTAAAAGCTGAATTTTGATATCTTGTAATTTTTGTGGCAATGATGCAAAAACTGTACAGTGTTTTTGAGAGAGAGAGTATTTGGATGCTGGAAAGCTGGGACTTATTTATAACAGCTGCTTCTAAATAATTGGATGAGAGAAAGTAAAACCATCAGCACTGTGTGCTCATAGCACTCTATAGAAAGTAAATTCTTAATATTCTTATAAGGCGAGTAGAAACATTACGATCTTGATTTCCACGTGATGAATCCAACGCCACAGACTGAAATCAAACGTGGTCAAAGGTACTGCTGACAGGTGACTTCCCCATTACACACTCATCACGGCAACCTCCAGATGATGCCTCCATCAGCCAAGTTTATATAGCTCCTCTTTACTAGCAGTTTGGGTTTTTTAGACTAAAAAGCATTTATTTCCTCAGCATTTCCACCCAAGCCCTTTCCCCAGTCTTACCTTTCCTGGAACAGATTAAATATTAATGCAAGCTTTTGAGTAACAGTATTCCTTACACTGCCAGCCAGTGAAAAGAGTATGAGGAACATGACTCATCTGCAATGTTCATGGATTTAACCTTGAATAAAATGCTTTTCCTGCAAAACCTATCTTGAGACAGAACCATCTATCGTAAGTGAAACACATGCAGGAACTGAATTTGAACACGTGCAGAAAGTAGGTGTCTCAAGGAAAGGAAAAGAAACAAGCACAAGTAAACGACAGCCCAAGCAGAGCTCATTCTGGTAGGGTCACGGGGTATGACTTATGTTTGCGGTGGTTCTCGCAAAGCCAGACCAGGTACCATGTTAAGTCAAGTAATTCTGTCACGATGCAGATCAGCCACAGATGGCAGCCTGCAATTTTTGAACGAAGCAAGGCATGAATAAAAACAGCATGGAATAAAACAAAGTTCAAAGGGGAAAAAAGGATAAAAAAAATCAATATTTATAAAAGAAAACAGATGCATTTCATGTGCAAGCCAAAACCACAATTGATTTTATCAGACACTGTAGCCCTGTATTCAAACCAACTCCACTTTGCTATTTGATGTATATATTCATAATATGCTGAAGGCTAAAGCTGAAAGCCAGATTCTGTCCTCAGTCACCACTCTGAAAGCCTGCTGTAAGAATTCAGTGTAAATCCAGTACAGATTCAGAACTAATAACTAAAGATATGTGATGAATATGTGAACCCACAGTTTGAGCAAGTTTGTGTATGTCATTAGGACTCATACATTTACAGTGAGCTCATTTGTTTTATGCTAAGGACGAGACTGCTACACGCAGTCTTTGACTCTGAGCTTGTGTAACCTGGCAGCTCTACTGGGGCTATGCAAATTTATTTCATAAGAGGATCTGCAAGTGTTTTTAATTAATTTTTTTTTCTTACTTATACTAGAGACATGCTGTTATGAAAACTTCCCAATTGGCACATAAAACAGTTTCTTAAGACATCCAAAATGTACCTTAAAAAGGCACACTGTAGTACTATGTGATAATATAACGAGAAAATGTCAGAAAATGTATAAAACACTATACATGAACAGTGAGGGGAGGCTGAAAGCTAAGTAAGAATTCAGGAAATACCTCAGAATTAGACACATATAGCTTTACAACAGTTTTATAAACAACTCTGTGGTGTAAGTTATTACATTCTACATGGTATAAAGTTACATTTAATTAAGGCTACCTGTGTAAGGGCTAAACTTTTCTTTAGCAAAGATCATTTAATTCATAATTTCTCATCTGTAATCAACTTTTCTCAATCTCAGACCATGATGAGATGGAAAAAAAATGCTAAATGTCCAGAAAAAGGTGTCCGTTATAACCATTCACATCTTCAATGGGAACAGTTTGATTGATATGGGTGATTATTTTAGCACAGGGGAATGTGGACAGTATTCTCTACATAAAGACAGAAAGAAGCACGTAAGAAATAGTCCATTGCATTCAATGATTTTATGACTTTTTCTCCAAACAGAACGCTGTTTTAAGTGGGAAGTGGAGTGCCTGCAGGTTTTACTGTAATTTCAGGTGAGAATACATTTGAAAAAAAGGTAGATTTTCTCAAAAGGTGAAATTGTGTTTTACCCAAAGAAAGGGATAAAAATACAAATACGGACTACTTTAAAGTAGAATACTGATTGACATTTTTAAGAATTGGTGTCAATCACTTTTATGATTTGATTACAGACCAAGTTACTTAGAAGCAGATTCATTTCCTCTCTTTGCAAAGAATGCACTGAGTATGGGCAAAATTAGATACTTATGGTGCACTTGTGATATTGCCAGAACACAAACTTCCATCTGGGTCACAGAAGTCACAGGCAGCATACAGAATATCGTTCTGCTTTTTCAGATTTCAAAGAGGATCGATTGTAAGTGTATGAAAGAACTTGATCATCTTTACTACAGAAAGCAAGCTTCACTTTAGAAATTAAGAATACAAATACATAAAAACTGACGCACCCCTGAAGAGCACAACTCGGTTTGCTGTCTTATCTTAAGCAATAATATTTATCTGCTTACTCAAAGGTGCTGTGGGGTCAGCTGGTGTTGGCATGCTTCAGAGACATCATATGCTATACACACTGATGTTCATGTGGAATTGCTTTCTGCACATTATAAAAAAAGCTGTGTTTCATGTAAAAGTTGTGGACAAAGCTGCTCTTTTGTGGACATGCTGTGTTACGTGCGTTATGAAGCCATAAGGATACCCAGAACTTCAGTTCTCCATGCAGAAATCCCAAGCCTTGAACACTTTTTGGCTCTTTATAAACCATACAGTTCACGTCACAAGTTAAAAAGCACAGACAATTGTTACACAGTGGGAAATGAAGAGAGACATAGACTGTGACAGGCTGCAGCAGGCAATGTGAAAGGATATAAAGATATAGACACTTACATATCCGTCATCACAAGGGCTCACAGAGTAATATCCCTTTATGGGCAAACAGGCACACATTGAAATAAAGAAGATTAAGAAAACAAGTTAACAGAAATAAATCACAGAGAAATGCACAGTTCTAAAAAAACCAACAACAACAAATCAAAATTAGCTAAAAATTAACAGACTATTAGCTTTAAAAAGAAAAGCATAAGCACTTTCTCCCAGTCCATGTACCTGTATGTTTTAGAACTGAAATCAGTATGTGTATCTCGTGATACGTTGACATTACAAGTTTTCTTTCAACACCTGGCAGACATACCTAATCTGCACATTATCTCATTATAACTGTCAGAATATTCCATTATAATTATTAGAATAGCTATGTACCAAGCACTGACACATTGCTGTGAATATATGACTTCTGTTGTTCACTACACTGAAGCAGCTGAGAGTGAGAGAGACACCAATGAAAGTGATATTATAGAACTGAGGAATGGTTTTGGTTGGAAGGGACCTTTAAAGGTCATTTAGTCCAAGCCCCTGCAGTGAGCAGGGACACCTTTAGCCAGATCAGGGACACTTTTAGCCAGATCAGGCTGCTCAGAGCCCTTCCAGCCCATGGATCAGAGGACCTCAGCTTCTGAGCAGCAGCCACAAGTACTCAGATTTACTTCACTTGGAGTTTCTCACCAGCACTTAATGAAAGCTAAGAAAGACAATTTAAGGTGTTTCAGCAATGTTATCAATTCCTCATACCAAAAGGCTCCAAGGATAAATTAAGAAGTCATCTCTGGAAGGAAACCTAAGATTTAGTTACTAAAATAAAAATCTGATAATTCATGGTTTGAGTAGCTCAGTACAACACATACCACGTTCTCTTTCATTAGACTAAAATATTTAACTTGGAACAGCTTTGTATCTAAAAAGAACAATCTTAATTAAAAATAAAAGTACACAGTTCAACACAATGAAAGAAGACCAACATTACTTATTCTGCTTCTAGTCTTTTTGTGCAAACCTGACAATACTTAACTGAGAAGACACATTTGTGCAGATGAAGCAGCACATAGACACTGCATTTAGCAGGTTCCTCTAGCAGACATATACAGCCTTACACAGAAGGTCTAAGAAACACACCACTCTTCACTGTGAGTGGAAAATAAAGATATTCTTAAAATGTAAGTGAGTATTTTCCACTTAAATTTGAGAAGAAACTTCTCAGTGAGGGTGACAGAACACTGGAACAGGCTGCCCAGAGAGGTTGTGGAGTCTCCTTCTCTGGAGACATTCAAAACCCGCCTGGACGCCTTCCTGTGTAACCTCATCTGGGTGTTCCTGCTCCGGCAGGGGGATTGGACTGGATGAGCTTTTGAAGTCCCTTCCAATCCCTAACGTTCTGTGATTCTGTGAAAATGAGGAAAATACTCTTCAACAAATTTTAAAAATCTGACATTATTCTTTATTACCACCACAATCAGAATTCCTTGATGTGAATGCGTATTTTAACTTTCACAGTGCTATACACACACACAGAGAAAGTTCCTGTGGCAAAGACATTTTTTAAATTAAATTTAAATTAAATTTAAGACAAAGTAGAACATCAATAGAAAAGAATAAGGGAGCAAAAGAAACCAGGGGATAACCTGTACCACGATGAGAGGAGATTTCAACACATGCATGACCTGAGCCAGTGAAAATGTATGTAGGCATCAAGACAAAGATGTCATTCAAGGAAAGTTTTAACATTAAAGGAAACCACAACAGGTTGGCCTAGATGACGTTTCTAAGTCCCTCCCCACCTGAGCTATTCTATGATTTGAGGGCAATAACAGGAAAAGTTTGTGGAAACCCCTACTGATGGCAACACCTTACCTGTAGAAATGAGGAATTGATGCAATCAAAAAAACCTGCCCAAGTTGCTGCAGGTAGTTGTGTCACCTGCAGCAACCTGTGAAAAAGGCATCATGTACAGCATCAGCAGAAAAACAACAACTTCTCTTTGCTTTCATAAAGAGGTAGGTTTGATGGTCCTTTATCAGATAGAAGTGGTAACAAGTAAGAATCATCCCATGGGCAGGGATGGAGACGACTGATGTATTTCATCCTAAGTAAAGCTTGCTTAAGGTAGATGCTGTTTGCTGTAACGTGCACATTATTTTTTAAAGGAAAGAGCATACATCCACATAATGCTTTGTGAATCCACTCTGAAGTGGTTCAGAGTAATAAATAAACCAAACCCAAAACTTCTGTTACCCTGTCTCCTAGGTTTCTGACAAGTAAGAAACAAAATACCTGCCACCAACTATTCCAGATGTTCACATCTGCAGTAAAAAGCATGTTTGGAAGAGAAAGGCACAGACCAGCAAAGTTAAAAATTCCTCCTTGTTTACAGTTTGTAAATGACAGCTTAATT